AGCTTGAGGCTCTGTCTCAAAAAAAAAAAAAAAAAAAAAGAGTACTGTACTCCTATATATAGTAGATAATATCTATGAATGATTCGAAGGTGATTACTTGCTGCTACTTAGTTTGAAAGACTTCTCACCCTCAGAACAATTTGCCAAACTTCCTGGAGTATTTTAATTTCTCTAATTGTCAGGCAAGATTCCTTTTGCTTTAACCTGTTGTACTGTTAAAAAGACTTACTTAGCTAGTTGCTAGCCTAGCAAAATACGTGTTAAAATATGGTCATTATTATAGGTATTTAATGTCTATAAGATGAAAATTTTGTGTAGGGCCTAAAATGTGCAAATCATACTGCCTAACACATGACCTTATCCTGGGCTGACTTTGTTTATTTAATGAATCAGTACATATACTGACCCCCTTCTCCAGCTCCCTACTCCCCACTGTAACTTCTAGATCAAATTTCAAGTCTAGCAGATACTCTCTAACAGTACGTTTTGTTTGACTTTATTGGTTATTTGCTAATGGAGGCAGTAAATTAATGATAATGTAAACAAAGTTTTAAAAAATCAATATTGAATTTTGTTTTCACTTTGTAGTCATGTAACAAAGAGCCAGTAGAAGACGCCTTGGCCCCAAGTCAGTGGAAATTATTGTGTAAAACAAATGTTTACATTTGTCTAAAGAATATATTATTTTTGACAGATTTTATTCCCTCTTTTCTAGTGGATCATCTAACATTTTGTCATATCTTGTGAGAAAATGTCTGTGTCAAAATAATAGCTGACATGCTGAGATGATGTAAATAACTTTGTTGTTTTTCTAAGAAGGTAGAGCCAAATTAGCAAGTTTTAAGCATCATTTCTGTTGTAAAAAAAAAAATGCTGGGCCCTGTAACTTTCTGGATGCAAAGTCTATTTATATGCAACAATACAAGGCAACTGTGAAAGTGTGAAAATGACAGGTTTTATATGCATTCAGAGAAGAGAGAGAGACTCATTTATCAAATGCTTGTTGAGAATCCACCATGTGCCAGTGACTTCTGGGAGCCTCAGGGACACAGTGGTAAGTAGCAGATGGTGACAATCT